CAACCACCTCCAACACAGTTGCCTGAAAGTTTGTAGTAAATCTGAAAAGCTTGATTTGCTGGTTTAGGTGTCTTTAATTAGGGTTGCTAAACTCTGCAGGACAGTAGCTGTCAAGGAAAAGGGTTTGGACACCCCTGAACTAATGTAAAGGAAGTTAAATGCCGCCCCCTACAGCACACAGAGCATTAGTAACTGTCCCAGATTGACAGCAGTGTGTGCTGTTATGAATATTGATGTTAGATCTTTTGTGAAAAGTATCCACTGCAACATCTTTTTTTTCAACTCTCATCATCTGTGATGAGCCACATAATGGACTAATAAATTCACAGTGGAGAGAACAACACAGAAACTATTAGAGTCCATCATTGAATAAAGGACTTGCTGTTTTTGTCCACTGAGTGGCAATAAAAGCAAGATTTATGTTTATTTAGTTTCTAACGTCACTGAACACCTTTGGCTTTATAGTCACTGTGTAAAAATTGTATTTAAAAACAAAAATGTCAGAGGGTGCATGCTTCAGCATGTAACACAATCTTTTCTCAATCCCATTATCCTCTTTCTCACTGAAAAAAATGCATGCATATAAAAAAAAACATCAAATTCAAAAACAAAGTTTTTGAGAGCCTCTGTATTTATTAAGTATTAATTTTAAAAGGATTAGGGACATCTGAATCTGAAATATTACACTTTTTAGGACTTTCTCCTCATAACATGAGTAACCTGCACAAGTACATATGGATAAGCACAACATCAAAAGGTGAAAATAAAAAAGAGACAGGGAGAGAAACATAGATATACTTCCCAAATGCAGTTTATGGTTGTGATTTGAAACTTGTTTACAGTTTTTCTGAATTGCTAAAATATTTTTGTTGAAACCATCACTCAATTTCCCAAAACCTTAAACACAAATCCAAATGTTCAAACTAAATTCACAGAACCACTGACTCTTCTGGCAAAATCAAACAATCGCTTCAAAACCATTTCACCTGTAGTCAAAATCAAACAGTAAATATTTAGCAATTAAACACACACACACACACACACACACACACACACACACAAAACAAAACAAATCACACCTAAATTTGATGAATATACAAAAACAAATAAAAAAAAGTTTGATCTGATTTTGTGTACTGATCTTTTATAATAAAAATCAGTCTTTTATAATAAAAATGTGCACACACATGGATGACAGCACACACACACACACACACACACACACACACACACAAAACAAAACAAATCACACCTAAATTTGATGAATATACAAAAACAAATAAAAAAAAGTTTGATCTGATTTTGTGTACTGATCTTTTATAATAAAAATCAGTCTTTTATAATAAAAATGTGCACACACATGGATGACAGTATACATATTGAACACTATTTTAACATTTATTCAGAGAAAAAAAAATCTAATTTTTTTTTTACAGTTTTTCTGAATTGCTAAAACACATTTCTTGAAACCATCACTCATTTTCTCAAAATATTAAACACAAATCCAAATACTCAAACTAAATTCACGAAACCTCTGACTCTTCCATCAAAATCAAACAATCACTGCAAAACCATTTCACTTGCACTCAAAATCAA